TGCGGCAAGCTAGACGCTTGCTTCGTCATGTAAACCCGTCTCGCTCCTCCACTCGCATAAGCCCATCACACAAAGGATCCAAGTAACATGGACCTTGCACTGTGAAAGTAGCCAAACATCCACGATAACCAGCTCATGGACACAAATGTAGGACATGTGTAAGGTCACCAGTCTCATGATTAAGGCGACCGAATTTCGTGAACACGCTGTCAACTTAACGATACTACGACTATGTATTCAACGTCGTACTTGAAAAACAGCGCACCATTCGAGAACCAGTGCACAGGTAGGCAAACAACTAGTAGAGGTGTGAGATGGTGAAGCACAAGTGCACACAATTTCCGATGTGACAAACAAAATGCAGACAGGAAAGCCCGCATTCACAATGACATGCCATATACCGAAGAAAAAAGCGCTTGCGGTTCCAGCAATGATCAATAGTCAAACAGCCTGCCGGGATTCGTCAATATGCAAAACAAGTTAATGAGATACGGTAGCTTCGGGAGTGTCTTGGACTACGCCGCAGTGTAGACAAGTTGGAAATAAAGAAAAGAGCCACCAGTATGATCGGTTCATTTTGTAAATGCAGATTTGCTATGGGGTGCAAGCAGAAAAATGGTACAGATAACCTGTGGATGCGGGTCTGTCATGGTGAAAACGACGCATCATTCTAGTTTACGAGCACTGTGGTTAGTCGTCGTTCTTCAAGTACTGGTGGGCGGGAGGAAGTGGAATGAACCGAATGGATCAGTCAGTGACAGAGTGAGTGAGTCAGTGGATGAGCGATGCATGAATGAGTAGGTGAATAAGTGAGCGGAATGAATGAGTGACCGAATGAGAGGTGATTACGTGAGAGTCAGTGCGCGAATAAACGTATGAATACGTGTGTGCGTGAGTAGGCGCGTAGGTGGGTGAGCTTGTGGGTAAGTAAACCACTAACTGCGTGACTGGAAATGAGTGAACAAATGAAAGACTGCGCATTCATGAGCAGATAGTCTACAACCCCATGGTGTGGACCATCCCGAGACCCAAGAACCCGCCTACCCAAGCCTCTGTCAAGTTCTTCATACCGCTATACCACGTCATCGACTGGCCACCTCGAGATCTCGCCCAAATTGGTTCAGCGACAGTGTATAAGGAACGACGAGGAAACCAGGCAAGGAGGATACAGAGGACTTGAAATTGCAAACGCAAGCGGTTGAGTTTTAGCAGAAACCCGAGTGAAGCACCAGGGGGCTTCTTGTCGAAAACCAATTGGAGGACCACAGCACTGCTAACTTGGTGTTCCCACCAGACGTGAGCAACACTGAGTAAACACCGGTGACCAAATACGACCAAATCTCTGAACTATCCAGTAATACCGGCCTTATCGCAGCGTTGTACACCCTACCTTCCATTAGTAGATTGATATCCCACAATAGATGGTTAGACCTATGAAAAGACAGCAGATTTGTTGATACGCGAATCAACCTCCTCAGTGATGTGAACACCAAAAGTGACACAGCTACCAAGGCAAGTGAACCGATGCACCACTTCTAGTGGCTGTTTCGGTGATAGCCGGAAGCGGTGGCGTAGCGGTCTAGTCCTGCAACAACACAACGCACTTTGAAGGCGCAAAGTACATGCCGGAGCGTGCAGCGCTACGCACCAGTCTATTCATCAGCATTTAACTAGCCAATACGTCAGACCCAGGAAGAGCTATGTTGTCCGGATACTTCAGGTTTGTCAGTCAGTCGCGCGGCAGGACTTCCACTCCGATAAAGTCTGAAAGAACCGAGTCATGCATGATAATCTTGACCAAAAAGTTGAAGGGGAAAGGAAACATCGGATAATCCTGGCGAACACCACTTGTTGCCGGGGGACTCAAGAGAGGGCTTCCCGTAGGTCCTTACACGGCCTCGAAGGTCGCGTTAGAGAGGAAAGGAGTTCTCAAAGCACACCTTTCACGGATAGGCAATGCCACAAGCCATCACAATCAACAGAATCGAAGGCAGATTTCAAGTTAAGAGAAACCACCACAGTGTGCCTTTGCACTAAAACTTGGCGAAGAGTAAATATGTGATCGATGCAACCACGACAAGGACGGAAGCTAGATTGGCTTTCAATGGTTCGGCTCTCACGAGGACTAAAAAGTCGTTGAAAAATGATACACGTGAGAAATTTGGAGGCAATGGAAATAAGATGAATGCCTCGATGATTTCCGCCCGAAGTGGGCTGACCCATCTTGAAGATGGGTACGACAGGTGACAGTACCACTCTGAAAGCACCTCTTCAGTGTTCCAAATATTGTGAAACAGAGAAACAAGTCCAATCAACAAAGAGTCACCGCCATTTTTCACAAAGATGGTCGTCGGCTAGAGTAGATTTATTTCGTTTCAACGCAGTATGTTCATGGACCCTCTTTTCGTTGGAAACACCCAAGGAACGTACGCTTAGTGTCGTTTCCACGAGTCGAGTAGACGATTACGCAATAACGCCTATGCAAAACCTTGCGACTGTATAGATGATGATGGGAAGGCAGTCAACAGAGTGACGCAGGCAAGGTGAGACAAACTTGTCATCATCACCGTTTCCCGCAAGAGAGAGAGAGAAGACGGGCTTATCGCACGAGTGCTTTTAATAACTCCGCAGGTGGAGATAATCTTAGATATGGCGCGAATGACGCACTACGCAGAGCATGTTTTGCGGGACGAGTTTATTCAAGAAACTCTGTTGCGTCGTGGTTTGGAAATCGCGTAATCACACAGTGAGTGTCACGCGGCGTAGGCTATTGATGGCGCAGGCGGGCATTAGGGCCCGGGTAGCGGGTGTGTATCTTTGCGGAACCACTTGACGTTCCCGAAAGATAGGATCATAGAAAAAGTGTGGGTAAAGTATCCGAATTCGAAAGTGAACAACTAGATGCAGCAGATCAAATGCAAGAGCGCTACTGGCTCTGTGATTGCGTCATATCGAGTAAGGTATTCAGCGACTGATGTGGCCGATCGAGAAGCTTCTATCCACGAAGATGGCGTGTACAATCATAACTAAAGCTTCCGTGTTCGCCTGTACTGTCATCCGTCAGTTAGCTTGCAGTTTCACCCAACTAGATTGCGGTAACGAAAAATAACGCACGTCGAGGTAACCTAGTAACAGGTATACCAAGGGCATAACTCAGCCAGCCTAAGCAGCTCTTTCCAACCGTCAATAGGCGAATTTCAACACTGCGTACTCCGAGTTCCTGCCAGACATGAGAAAGACCAAGTAAGAACTACTCTCCCATATAGTAACATCGGTCGTACAGAAGATTGGTAAATGCTTTGATTCCTTATCGGACGATCTGGAATTTGAGAATCCGCACAGTCTTTCGGAAAAAGTAATCGACCTGATGGCATCAGACACGCAAATACCTAGTCGGAATCCGCCCAATGGTGGTGTAACCGTGAATGTTAAAATATTATCAGCACAAAAATGATCCGGTTGCGACAATATATATATATATATATATATATATATATATATATATATATATATATATATATATAGGGTGGTACACGAAATGTCAAACTATTTGTTTTGTTTGTTACACATGTATTTATTACCAAAGTATTACAAAATTAGTGCAGAATTAATTATATGAGCACGGAAATTTAGTTCATTGAGATCCCCGTTTTATTTCACAACCTCTTGCAAGCGAATCTTTAGAGTGGTCAAAGCCTTCTTGCAAAGTCTTCCGAAATTAGACGGCACAACTGTATGATGAGAGCCCTAAGTTGAGCTGCACTTGCAGGCATCCATGTGAAGACAGTATATTTCAAGTAGCCTCACAAGAAGAAATCACATGGCTTGACGTCAGGGCTATGCGGGGGAAACTGTCTTCCACCTTGGTGACGCTCAGGGAACCGATGTGACATTACCCGCCCATCAAACATGTCATACAGGTAATCAAGAACAATATTTGCAGCATGTGGGCGCGCTTCAATTTGCATGAACCATTGCGTTCACAATGAGAGTCCTGTTGCCAAGAGTTCTGATATAAATCTGTTTTCCAACGTGTCCTCATATCGATCTTTGTTTACCGTCTCATCCAAGAAAAAGGGTGTGATGATTCTATAGGATGAAATTGCGGCTCATGCACTGACATTTTCTCCATAATTTTCCCTTTCGTGCAGAATGTGAGGATGTTCACTTGTCCAGAAACGAACATTTTGCTTATTCACTACACCATTTAAATGAAAATACGCCTCGTCAGTAAACCACGTGTTGTACAGAACGTGATCCTCTTGCACTAACCATGAAGCGAACTGATGTCATCGTCACCTGTCCTCTACTCTTAATTTATGGACAGTGTTATCTTGTAAGCGAACATTTGAAGATCAGAATGTAGAATCCTTTGTATGGACCGACGAGACATTCCTAACTCAGCAGCCGTCTTCCTTGTTGATTTGCTAGGACTTCGTGTCAAAGCAACGCGAACTGCTTCCTTGTTTTCAGGGGTTCAGGCACTTGGTCTGCGGCGTGGATTCTTCTCCACCACAGAGCCAGTTGTTTCGAATTGACGACACAAACACTGAAGAGTCTGTTTACACGGAGCCCATTCTGTACGAAAGTGTGCAAGAAAACGTCTTTGTGTCATTACAAAAACTCTGCCTTTCTGTAAAAAAAAGCATTACAACTTTCACCTGTTCAACACTCAATCTGCTCTTATGCGCCACCTAAAAAATTGTGTCTGCGGCAAGAAGATATTCCATACAAACTTCTCGTGACATCTACCGGATTCTCTATAAAGCAAAGTGTATGAATACGAGTTTTCAACATTACATCTATAATATTACATGCGTAATGAACGAAACAAATGGTATGACATTTCACGTGCCACCCCGTATATATATATATATATATATATATATATATATATATATCCTGGCGCAACAATACAAAGTCGTAGAGGAACCCTGTCAGAATAGTGGCCAGTATGTCACCCAGCTTGGATACGACAATGTGTAGCGCAAATAACTCACCCGGATAATATGCAGTCAGAAGCAACACTTCGAAAATTCCGTCTTCCAGCCGGTTGATTCTGGAATCGATGTAACGCAGAATATTCTTGTGCGATAAAGAACTCTGAAAAATGATCGATGAAAAGTTGCAACCACCGATCACAAGGACAAATGGTGAAAGAAACACGGCACATACAGAGTCAACTGGCGATTTTCAAAGGAACAAGAGGTGAAGTAAAAATAGGTTTCGCAAGTCCAGTAACCGCATCAGGAGCAAGCTGATAATAATAATAATAATAGTAACAATAATAAAAGTATATTTCTCCTAGAGTGAGTAAAAGCATCTCCAGCAGCACAGATCAATTTGCACAAAACTATGCATGCTCTTTCATGGGCGATATGCATAGGTGAAATATTGGGGTACGCGTTTCAGGTAGTTACGTTCTGGCGGATGGTTGAGGCGAAAGCCTAGTTTTGGAAACATTGGTGTTTAGATGTTATTGGGCCCCACTAGGAATTGCTAATCGAGGGATTTTTCCCGAGTGAATATAGTCATTATGGTAGTCCGGTCAGGGCAACTGGTGAGTTTGCTACTAAATGTCGCCAATTTTCCCATGACCTGAGTATGATTGGTCGTTTATTCCATAGATATTTGACCAGGAAGAAATGTGAGAACATGTTTGTTCTAGTCTTTGGCATATGCGGTGTATAAGCTTTGTTTCGAAGCTCTCCAATTGAGCTATGCTGTAGTGTAGGCAGATCGGACTAGGTTTTCTTATTTAACAGATTGTAATGCAGCAACAAGTGATGCTTCAGTCATTGCATTCAAAGTGGCTCCAGTTGAAGTTTGTTACAACGTTCACAACAATTCAGGGCAAACGGTTTACCAATCAGATGTTTAGTAAACGACTTCTTCAGGCGTTCACTCTCATAAAACCGCATATTATATGCTGCAGTACTCGATGATAGGGCGGGGGTGGGTGAGAAGCTGAAAAAGAGCAACTCTAGTATGGACTGCGTGAATCTTGTTGAATATATTGAACCCAGATTGTCTGTTACATGCCACTTGGTACTGGGCCTGTTCGGAGAACTTGAAGATACATGAGTATCAGATTCTGAGACGACGCGTGGACAAATGTGTAGGGACATTTTCGTTGTTCAGTACAGTAAATCCTTTGGGAATGAAACAGTCGTATGACGTGATGCATAATTTCTCAGCCGAAAGATTCATCATCTGTCTGTATCACCATGCTTCAAAGGAATATGAGTCATCATGATTGAGCAGAAGCGTCATGCCGACACTTATAAAGACAATATTGATATCGTAGACGAACAAAAGTGTCCGACTATGTTGCACAGATGTGGTGATATCATTGATGTAGAGCATGAACAGTAAACGATGGAGCACGCTTCCTTGGATGACCCCACTAGTGATGGGGCGTGGAGAAGAGCGATAGTCACCTAAAGGTATGAGGATAGCCAACCCGGTAATGGATCCAGGATCCAAAATGCCCCCAACTTTTGTAACAACCGCTTGTGAGGTACCCGGTCGAATGCTTGGTGTACGTCCAGAACACAGAATTATTACTGCATAGCCGGAGTTGGTAGATTTTTAAATGTAGTTCAGATAATGCAAATGACAGGTGGCGCACGATCGCTTATCGAGAAAATCATGCTGCGTGCATGGCTAGACAAGCTGTCTCCTGGTGATCGGGCGGAATAAGGTAATTGCTACACAGCAGCAGCAAGTTAGGACTCCGTGGAGCTCAGCAATTGGTTTTCAACCAGCAGCCTTAGCAAAAATGGCTTATACGCAATAGGAGTAATAGCAATAACAACGATACGGCAGCGTATGGAATGAAGAGGCCGAGAGTTGACTAACTATGAACCGTGCGATGAGGTGCAGTGCACCTAACTGTGTCGACCAAAGTAGCAAAGATTATTATTAGTATTATTGTTATTATTATTATTAAGTTGTAAACAGTGAGTGCGAAAAAATAGTCCGGTGAAGTTGGGAGTCAAAAGTAAAGGAACGAGGTTCCCTGACGTCATGACTGCGTCTTATCCGATGGAGTATTTAACATTTACATTCTGCTCTTCAGCGCAGCCTCCCATGCATGTTTACTTTGATAAAGTTTGCTTCCTACTGACTGTTATCTGAACGGAAATCAAGATCAACAATGATTTATTGGTATGAAAAGAAAGGCATCAGCAGTACGCCGGCACACTGTACTGCAACGCGACCACTACCGGTCGCGCGTGGGCATAGTATACCACAAGGACGCCCGTCCCTACGCGGATTCGAAACGGTGACCAAAGGATTGCAAGCCAGGCATGCAATCCTTTCGGGCAACGGCCAGTATGTGGACAAGCACTATCTGCGTACTCCCCACTTAAAGTGACGAATGAGTAATATTTGTTCCGTGAACCTTTTCGTTACATTGCATTCTGTAATGCTTACTGTCGCAAAACTTGATCCTTTAGGGACAAACGGGTTATACGACAAAGCTAGCTCAGCGAAAATGACAGTCTGACAAGCAGGTATGAACCTCGATATTATTAACTAAGTCATTTCCATAACTAACGAGGCTGCTGTACTAATGAGATTCTTCCTTTGAATCAGTCAAACAAACCCGCTCCAGCGAACCAATCAGCACGTAGACGAAATATGCGCAGGCGTCCAATCAACTGTCCTGTTCGCTTGCGGCACCCTAGCCCCTTGCTTGCACAATCTTATCACATCCTCCCCTTTTTCAGGATCAGCTGCGTCGGGGTCGAAGAAGACTACGTACGCTCTTCCGCTTCGCATCATCTTTGCTGTTTCTGTCGTTGTGACTTCTCCGTAAGCCGTCAAGTTCAGGTTCACTTTCTCGTTCCCGGTGTCATCTCAGCTGCACTCAGTTCCTTCTGATTACCTTCCTTCTTGTACTGACTTCATAATATCTTTCTCAAATCTCCGCGGTCACCGCACCTTTCTTCCGTCGATAATTGACACCTGGTATTGGTTGGATCCACACTTCATCATTTACTGATAGCTCCGGTAGCGTCATTGGTCCCGCGGTCGCAATACCGTTTCTGATCTGCTGTCCGTTTTCTTAAACGCCTTTGCATTCGCTCATGTGATGGCGAGAGTTAAGCAGACGTATGCATTAGGGTTATTGTCCTTCTGATGTACAAACGTTGCACTGGACAGAGACCGATGTTCGGAAATGGCGTATTGCGAATCTCCAACAACATTAGATACGGGTCCTCTCTGGCTTTTGACATTAGCCTCTGGGCTTGTTTGACCGCTGCCTCTGCTTTTCTGTTAGATTGACTGTGGTACAGGCTGTTTTATCGATGAGAGAAGGTCCGCTTGCTCTCGAAGGTCTGGAACACAGCAATTGTAAATTGAGAGTCATTATCGGGGATCAGATCTTCCGGTATTCCGTGTCTGGAGAACTGATATACAAGCTTGTTGATGACTGCTTCCGTGGTAGTAAAGGTGAATGGATCAATGTCAAAATAGTCACTGTAATAGCCCAAAGTGATTAACTAGTCGTCCCCGTTGTTATAGAACGAATCCACTGATAGTTCAAAGAGGTTTGGAAACAATCGGTCGGTATAGCAGTTAGGTAAAGTTTCGCTTTTGACACAAGAGGTTCGTCAGACCAGGTGAATCCGTGGAGTTGGACTATATAGCAAACAGGGGCAATAACCGCGTTATCCGAGAGTTGAGCCAAGGTGTCATTACAGTAACAGTTCGTGAGGTCACCTCAGGTTGTTCGATCACAGTGGGTATGGTCCAGTTGTCCCTTTGTGCGTTATGGCATTGATGGATAAACCCATAGTGTTGACAATGGGTGTCGGTTTGTACTTTCAATCTGATCCACGCACCGATGCTCGTCAAGCTGACCGGCTTAAGATCGCTCGCCACGCATCAGAGAGTTCTACCCATCCAGTCTATTCACGCAGTCGTTAGATTTGGTAATTTCCACCGCCTCGGCAATCAACCGCTGAAGTGTTGATCGTATACCCCCTAATGACCTCTACGTTTTCCAAGTCTATCTGGTGACCTGTGCCTAATGCATGCACGGCCACGGCCGAGTCTCTTACTATTGCCTGGCATTAAAACTCGTTTCTTAGTGGTCTTGAAATGCGCCTCCTGTGCTCAGAAATTCGTGTGTGTAATTCTCTCGCTGTTTGGCCTATGTACACGTGCACAGTCCCTACATTTAATTTTATACACAGTCGTCCTAGCTTTGGAATGGGGGTCCTTCAGGTGCACCAGCGCCGAACGTAACGTTCGACCTCGGTGAAAGATCACCCTTATATTTGCTTTGTTTAGTACCCTCCGAAGTGCCCTTTGTACGGAGATCTTAGCGTCCCCACCCACTCGGTTGTTGGTCTTGACTGCCGGTTTACCAATTTATGCAATTTGGGTTTGACTAGCCGCCGTGAGTAAGCACTTTCGAATAGTTTGATCATTGCTACTTTCCGCGCAGCCTTTTTGTCCTCCTCCATCGTGCACAAGGTTTGTGCACCGTAGAATAGCGCTGAGGCTATCCCAGCGTAAACCTGTTTCGGATGACCCGTAGTGTAGTGGAGTACGTCGTCAGTATCAATTGACTTGCGATATATTGTCATCTTTAAATTTCCCCCATTCCTGTGAACCAGGCAGTCAAGGAATGGTATTGTACAGATACAAGATTCCAACTCAATAGTAAACTGTATCCTCTCATCAATGGAGTTTAAGTGATCACGCAATTCGTACTTCTTATCCCGTTTAACAAGTACAAAGGTGTTGTCTACATAACGTCACCAAACTTTTGGTGAGTTAATGGTGTTCGTTATTGGGATACTGGCGACCCCATGGTGAGACATTGTTGCTGGCTGTACAGCTTCGACTGAAAAATGAAGTAAGACATGTTAAGACACAGTCATACCCTCGAATATCAGGTTAACCGTCACTTTAGTCCGATCACTGAGAGTGACATCTTTATTTAGACCTCTGGTTATTTATGAAAAGTGATGTGACATCGAAGCTGACCATCCACTCATCTGACTCGATATGGAGACTTGCTAACTTTTGAGCGAACTCATAAGAGTTTTTCACGAATGTACTCGTTCGCCCTGTTAGAGGCT